GATTTTACTGCCAAAGGTCGGGAGGTAATTGGGGATGTATTTGACGAAACGATTGCAAATGTGACAGACAAAGTTTACAGTTCCAAGGTATGGTAAAATGATGCTGATAAAAACTTTTGAGTTGTACGCTAATTGGATTCTGAGATGAATTTTGTCTGAAGTCCAAATTCAATGAAAGAAAAAAATGTTTTTTTCAGGATACACTTCTAACGCATACGTTTGATTGCTATCCAATGAACGCATTGTGGAAAAAAATTGGCAATGAATTATGCGATGTGGTTATAATGCCAATGAATGGAATTTGGACTTCTGCTGGTTTGGCCTCACTCTTCATAATTGTTTCAATTGCTGCTCTTACGTTAACGGCCAAATATCTGCAACGGATGAACCCTGCATACGATCGACAGCCAATGGTAACGGAACCATTCCAGGCGGCGTCAAAATATGCGGTGCGTTTTTGACTTGATTTCACCTGTACAAATAACCTTTTGATGCAACAAACATTCTTCATTCGCATAATTCGTTTTGTTTCCAATTCAAAAACGTTACTTCGTTCACTTGAAAGAACTTCGTAAAAAAAGATCAATAAACTGAATCACAACTTTTCAGTATAAATGTGACAAGAAACAACAGTAGAAAAGCGAATGGAAAACATTGGATACATCCCAAATTAAGATGTATTAGATGAGTTTATCGAGCATATTCTTTGCTTCATATTTCACTTCTTTCATACCAAACTGATCCGTTGACAATGCATATCGACAGATGAATCGGTACTGAGTTTCGATCTCATTAGATTACAGCCCTGTGCAAATGCACTCACTTGACTGATTCCTGCTTGAAAAGGAAACCTATTCTTTTCGCATAGATACAATAGTGCGTAATTTAAGTTTTAAGCAAAAGCAGTTTTTGATGCACATATATAATCTCGAATGCAAGATCCGTTGTGACTATTGGTTTTTGAATAGTTCAAAATGTTCACTCATTTGTCAAAATTATGGCAGTGCTCGATGTAATTATAAAATATGATACTTAACGTAGTTGCTTGCATCATCATCCGTTTCAGTCGAAAATTTTTGTTACATTCTATCAATAAATAAACAACAATGTAATGTTTTGGCTGTTAATAAGATTTTGATTAACGAATTAATTCATTATATTCATCACAACCAACTGGTGAATAAGATTTACTCAAATCTGAAATTTTATGCGTACTTGTAATTGTCGAATAAAAAGAGTGACTTGGGTAATTCGACTGTTTCATTTGCATGTCATTCATCATTTCAAAGCGTGCAGAATAACTTTCGTTAGGGAAGCAAAAAAATCATTTACCAACACGGCAAACAGAAGATTGTACGAGAGCGATTTTGGATAAAAGATCATGTTTAGTCGTTTATTTACAGCAGTGGTTCTCAACCAACGATGCCAGATAGGGAATCAAGCATGGGGATGGGAACAAGGGGAGCCTCAACCATGAGGAGTAAGAAATCATTCTGTTACTTAAACATTGCAGTCACCTTTACCTTTATTCTCATATAAGCTCTTTCTGTGATGCGTGCAAAGACATTATGAAAACTTTCATAGGTGTGGCGCATAAAGCAATTTGATTTAGGAAAAAAGAATTGAGTCCTTTCGTGATGTTGTACCTTAAGTTAACCTCTTCGATGAAGCGTTTTCAACAACCGACAATCTGTTGGCTTGTTGACTCGATTGACTATCAATGCAATGTGGATTTAATTTATTGTGTTTGGTAAATGAGAAAATGGGTGAGACGAGTTGAATAATTCGATGTGAGAACACATACAGATGATCGCATCTTTCGAAAAATGTTAAAAAACGCTCGGAGTCGAGATGCGTTTAGTCTTTGATCGTCAAAAAATGTGAAGTGATTTGATAAGAGACGACAAATAATTCAGGCGCTGAAAGATAAAGTTGATTCGTTACAGAACGAAAAGCGGACGCATGGACGTAAAATATTCGTGAGAGTTGGTTTTCAGTGATGATGGGGTATCGACTATCATTAAGATATAAACATTGTCATATCGAATAAAGACGTCAATTGAAGAGGTAATTGACGTTATCGCGAACTTAAGAACATTTTGCAATGGGACATCATTATGACGAGGTAAAATCGAGAGAGAGAACAAAAAAGAATACTCGCTATTAAAATTGAAAAAACTATTGAATGTCGGTGAATTTCAATAAAGTTGTTGCTATGAATCGTCGAATGCTAATGAAATTTGCTATGAATTCTAATTAGAGTCCGACGAAATGGAAATATCTAACTGCAATGTTCTAGGTTTGAAGTATCCACACATTTCTCCACGTATACGGTCTATAATTCCCACTCTGCAATTAGTAATTATTGTTTGAAATGCTGATCACATCAACTTACTGATTTACCTATACTTCACGAATACATCTATACCTCCCTCGACTTGTGTCGGTTTCGATGAAATGACGCATTGGTGTCAAAAGAAATTTTTCGACTGAACCGGCTCAAGAGAAGATGCGCCAGTCGCTCGCATAATTAAGCGAAAAATACTAAAGGAGGATTAATTAAACCACGCCATAAATGATGCTAAGATGAAGAATGCAAAGTATTGTGTAAATATTTTATTGTGATGCTAACCTTATTCAGTAATCAAATAACGCACGATCAGCACCATTAAAAATCTGCTAACCGAATCACCTACTCAGTAACGCTTTCAAAATGAAATTTCAAAAAACAACAAATGGCAAGTTTCAATGATCACAAAACTGTTTGCTCTGTGCATACATCCTCACGTTTGCGTTTCACCTTGATCGCATGTTTTTACGAGAGATGGCTTCAAAAATGAATTCTATTAAAAAAGTCGACACCGAATGCCATCTCATTCTATCAGAGTATGGAACAGCGGATTTAAAACGACATGAAAAAAGGAGGCTGCTGAAATTCTAAACTAAACCACACATCCGCATTTGCGATCAAGCTAAAAGAAGACCAACTTTAATGACATATGAAAGTGACAGAATGCGAAAGCCGTAAATTACTACCCTCAACAAATGAAAAGGCAAAAGCTGCTAAGAACTTGAACAATCCTTGTGCTTTCATCATATGAATAAAATTACAACACGCCTTGCTTATTCAAGAAGTTACTCACAAGAAAGCGTTATCATTACTCGAAGATCTGATGAGAGAATGGCCAACGATAAGGAATATTAAGCTCAAATAGGTTCATGTTTCAAAGCGAACCTCTCGAAGCATAAGAACACTGCAATTGTTGGAAGTGCAAAAATTATAGAGAAATGAATGCAACTGGTGTGGATGATGAAATGAATTCACAAGTAAACTCATTCTTACTGAAACTATTGATTACTTCATTGGGATCACTGATGCAGCATGCCGTTGGTATTGCAATGATAACAGTGCCATAATATAAGAGATTGTTTATTATCGTTACATACAAAATTATTCATGATACAATCTGCAAATTGTCTAGACATGAATTAATCAAAAAACGAAAGAACTTTCGCATCATGGTAAGTGTTCATAATGAATGAGCTTAACTGCTATCGTTTTGCCTTTTCGAATCCATTCAAGATGAATGATCAAATCCAACTTCATCAATCAACACAATTTATTCTTCATCCTAATTTCCCTTAAATCATAACGGAAATATTCATCCGACAAGAATAAACATCGTCCATTTTTCAATACTTTTAAACTATGAAGCAGTTATTCAAATGAATAAATTTAATCAACAGACCAACCCATTCAATCTGATTTATTACTTTAAACGGTAAACCTGAATCACAATAACATGATGATATTTGTTTGATTCAGATTAACCTAAGCGAATATAGGAGAAGTGGTGGCACCGCAAAATCACAGTGATGTATAATAAAGAGGCTTGAACGACAACAGTTGCTCGTTAACGGAATACAAGGAAAACAAACCGATGTAAAAATAAAATCAAATTACAGCCCGAATGAACAAAAGTTAAAATAAAAATGAACGAACACAGTTTTTCTTAGAAAACGAGTTGCTGCTATTATTTGTTTTCATTTTCCCAGTACATTTAGACGCATAATATTTACTCCATATGACCCAATTCGAATGTAGAAACAAACGAATCAACCAGAGTAATTCTTAAAGTGACGATAAAACAAAGCAAACATTATTGTCATGAGAACCATCCCAAAATTTGTATACGCGCTAAACCTGATAGCGTTGGGCAATTTGCTAACGAATCGACTTGAACGAGAATACTTACGATGTTCGATTTGATAAACATAATCTTTCACAGATGTTCGCTCGATTAACTCTTGTAAAATTAAACTGAATTTTTCTTCGCGTTTGGTAGTTATATTGGGCTTTCATTGTTTTCTATTTAAGTAGTTATAAGGAACAGAAAACGTAAAATTCACTCAATACCAAAATTTGGTACGATGCTTATTCTTCATCTATTGGAATCGGATTTCAGTGAATATCAAATCACTGAAGTTAACAAACCCTTCATGTTGCAATGAAGTACTTACTAAAATTACATGCCGTTAACGAACCCGGAAATCTATAAACGTTAAACATGAAACTTCTCTCTATCATGATACTCAACGAACAAACCGATTAAGAAAGAGCAGAGCTGCCATACTGATAATAACGATAAACTAATAACAGAAGCAACCGTTTGCTAAAGTAGGCCATTCATTAGAGCACATCATTTTCATTAGCATCATAATTATACGATAAGCAATAGACTAGGCAAAATACAATATATACTCTTCAGATGATATCTTATAAATGCCGAAAGCAATTACCGCGTTCATATATTCGTATTAAAAATCACTGTGGTCCGCATCACAAAATCATATTATAATTCTTAGGTGTAAAGTAAACATCTGACTATTAAATGTGAATTGAATATAGCTTTTTTAAATCATATGTCGTCGCTTATCAGACGAACTGAACCGAACAGAAACTGACAGTGGGCATTACGAAAAAAAACACAGATTTCACTGGATGATTCACACACTCCATTCTTTTTACTAATGAGGATAAAGCGTGACACCCATCCTTTTGAGGCAATTTAGACTGAAATTCAGATCAAAATGTTATGAGGTGAAATTTTCGAGCTAGGAAGAAAACAGTTAACGTCGGTCCCTCGTCAGAAATTGAATCGAAGGAGCTCATTGATGAATATGTGACTCATTCCCGACAGAACTGCATTTGCAAGTAAGCTTAAACTAATTTGGTGTTAATCAATCAATCAAAAGTTCAGTACAATGAGGCAGATGCAAACGTGGTTATTATCATGAGAAAAGAGACACAGTGACAGGGTGAGTACCTAATTCACCTGAATCTTGGCAAGTTTCAATGACCAAAAGTTGAATAGCATGAACAGATATACAGATGTATGTTTATACGCCACTAACCTGCATGACAATAATAATAATAACAACAACAGATCCCTGATCGACGAAATAAGATACGATTCGATAAAGATAGAATATGTCTTTCTGTCACATATACAATTGAGATATATAAGTAAATGTCAGGGTAGGATGTAAGTAAATGGGCGTACTTGTGAATGGCCAACGATCATTCTTAGTCGTATGGAAAATAGCAGCATCAAACAATTAGCGAGATCAATCAAGAAGCTGCGTTTCGCAAGCTGGATCTACGTGCTCGCCACTGTTCAATAACTGTTGCAATTCGGTGGCGTCCAAATGCAGGTCCTGTAAATCCTGAAAGCAATCTAACTGCCCATCAGTGCCAGTTAGCACAATGTTCGGTATTTCGAGTGATTCCGGACTATTCGAATAATTCCTCAGAGGCCATGACGGAGGTGCAGGCATTTCAGCACTCTGTGCGGGACTTGTTGGTGCAGATTGCGTTTCGGACATAGACGGTGGCGTAGCAAGTGTATGACAAACTCCCATACTATGTCTTTGTCCAACTGGTTGGTGAGGATATACACAAGGTGCTTGTTGCTGTTGCACAGCTGCGGCTGTACCTGGAGCTGGAATATTCGGTAACGAACCAACGATACAATCGTCACGATTTGGCCTTTGTTGGGCATTTATGAAAAGCTGAGTTGGTTGGAAGGAAGTTTGTTGTTGGAAGTTGGAAGCTTGCTGGGCTCTTAATTCTTGCATAGCAAAATTCTGGGATGACTGTTGTTGTTGTTGTTGCTGCTGCTGCTGTTGGTAAACATTCATATGAATCGCTGGATCACTACGAGCTCTGCAAAAACTATATAATTTATATACATATTGAAAATTAATAGTTTTATGAACTTACTTTGACCACATCGCATCAGGAGGTTGTAGGTGACTGCCAGGTGGATAAGGTACATGGTGATAATCGAGTGGCGGTACTCGTTCCTGTGGTTTTGTCTGCTTATACGGATGATAATGAGCACCAGGCGAACGACCCCGACTGGGATGAGGTACAGATTGCGACGGCCAAAATGGCCAATTTTGGACAGGCTGTTGCACCATTTCGTGGACGTTCGGTAGTGAACCACCTGGTCGATTCCAATGCAGCGGTGGCGCAAGTGCTCCAGGAGACGAGCAAATTGGTGACGCAGCTGCCGAAGTACTCGTAATAGCACGAACATCACGCATAACTGATGTAAATGCTTCATGATCTTCATTCTGTTTACGTTCCATTATCGCTATCTTCTCACTGAACTTACGCGGCGTTCCCTGTGCCATTTCTTAAAAAATAATTCCCTACTAACTCAATTCTTACCTTCTAAATCCGACAAACCCTCGCAGCCCCTAATCCACTTCCATCTTGCCCGCGATTTTACTGCTACGTTGATTTGCAGGTGCGGCTAGATCAAAGAGAACTCATTTCACTTTACTTCTATACAGACTAGTATTTACGGTACTTCTGGCAACGCATCAAAAATATTGGCATTTTATCGTCTTGACATGACAATAAGACAGCTGATTGCTGGACTAATCAGTAAAATGTTCGTTCGAGATATTTGTGTGTAATTGTGCTTTGGAATGTTTCTTAATGGGATGTTTCACTGTTTATAGATGGCGATATGTCGATAAAAGAAAGTGATGAAGATGAAAACAATAAAAACCCGGGCCTTGTTGCTGTCCATGGTCCAATCGTCGATTTGCATGATTGTTTTCATGGATACATTTCGAGAAAAGAGGCTGAAACGCGTTTATTGGAATCTGGTGTTGATGGTGCTCTGCTGTTACGAGCCGAACAAAACGCTAATTTCGCGAAACAAAAATATACAATCTCATGGCTATCACCAGCCAATCATTCAGTCATGCATTATCCGTTAGTTTTAAATGATACCACTACTTCAATAAAAGCGAAGGTATTATTTGTTTCAGTCACTTTACTTGCAAGTAAATGCACATTTTGAACCGTTGTCATAAAACTGAATTGACAACGCTTTAAAATGCATCTGTTTTAAGCGGTAATGTTTCGAAATTGCAGTGTGTTTTTTTCAGAATTACATTAGTGTGTGGTGAGTATTTTCTATTCGGACTCCATTTTGGATCGTTATTGGCCGTTGTACAGCATTTCATTGATCGATCTGATTTAACTTATGTACCGCTACGACCTCCATCGGTGAGTGAAATTTCAAATAGATATTCTTTTTTTTTTTTACAAAATTGATCCTCATTGGTTAGAGGATGTCGCAGATCGGTTACATAAGTTTTCAAATATTTTTTCTAGCCTGTCGAAATAACAAACCGGCAGCGAATGGCAATACTACCATTCAATGCAATCACTGATTCGGACGAATTGAGGTAAGCTTTTTCATCCCAGAAACCTCTCTATATTTTCATTGTTTCGATTCGTATATCTACGCTCGGTTGTACATATTTGTCTTTTTTATGATGTCTTTTTCATTTATTTTAATGTTAACAGGAAGAAGTTCCATCGGAAGAGAAAATTATCATTATTTTCGAATACATCGTTCCGTTATTACTGAATTGGTTGTCCGAGAATTGCTTGCATGTTCGTCATCGTCAACCTGAAGAATACTTGTTTTGTGAAATGTATTCCCAGTTAAACGGTTTCTACTTACTAATAAAAAGGAGTCATTAAGAAGAACATTTTTACAGTTTTTGTGAAGGCGATCTACTCACCGAATTGCAGCAGGTTGATAGTCAATGGATTTGGGCACGACTTGAACGAAATTCACAGTCGGGTCTTGTCGCTGTTGAATTGACTGTTCCACTCGTTTGTTTTTATGGTTGTTCTTTGTTGCGTTTGATTTGTTTTGAATGCAAGTTTTGAAATCGACGTAATCAGCATCGTTTTAAGTAGTCAGCTTTATCGTTCTTCCATTCAAGCAGTTCTTTCCTGTGAAATGTATGAATCAGATTTTTAATGTTCTGTCTAGTATTGGTTGACATTTGATCAAAAATATGTTGGATGCAGAGCTGTTCTTTGAAACGCTCTCAGTTCTGATGAAATTATTTATTCTTTTATCACTGAATTGCACTTTCGTCAGCATCATCTGTGATTTGTTCACTGAACAGTCATCTCAATACACCGTCTATCTTATCAAAAGATGTTTCTATAAATTTTCTGTTTACAGAACGATAGGCGTATCGCACCAGAAGATTTACCATACTTTCATGATGACCCAGTCGAAGAATTGGCACGTCGTCTCAATACCGGTTAGTGTTTGTTGTTTGTTGTTCATGAATTGATTAACCTTTCATTTTTAAATAGTGCTGGCAATCTGGCTAAAGACACACGTTCTGTTTGTTTCAAAATGCTTATCCGTTTTATTCTGGAGATGTTTGTCGAAGAGAGAAGATTTGTTCATAGCAGATGGATTCAAGCGTAGGAAATTTTCTTTTTCAAGTCATTGTGTAAGAAAAGAAATTATTTGATTGCGAGAACAACAAGTGATGGTAGTTGTAAACACCATCCATTCACTAAATTTAAAAATTGTTTATCATTCACAAACCGTTCATATTCATTTTATTTCAATAATTTCTGTGAACATAGGTTTGTATTTTGTGAATCTTCATTAGACTGCTGCTGAATAGTTGTTGTTATTTCAGGTGGTATTGGAAGTTACTTGGTGCGATCGTCGAAGAACCAAAAGAATAGTTACGCATTGATGGTGAATTCTGGGGAGCGAATCGAAAAGTTTTTGGTTTGTCGGTTGCAGAATGGCGATTTTGAGCTGGGTGGACGTACGTTTCCCACAATTCATGATATAATTGATAGGTATCCAATTTAATGGCTGCTCATGAGAAATCCAGTTTTTCTTTCCTGTTATGCTCGCATTCACGCGACTGATTCTGCAGATATTCTCGACGGGAAATCAGTGATAAAAGTAAATTGTTGCGTGCTGTGCTGCGTCCAACGGCTGTCAAATGTAAGAAACCAGACGAAATTGGAGTATTGCCGAAACTGCAGCATTTGCGAAGTCATAGTTCATGTCCTTATCCAGTGGATTGTGTTCATGCATACCGTAAAAGTACCGTTTTCCTTTATTTTTTCTGTTGTTCCGTATTTTGCATTCTTTTATTGTTAATCTGATATTCATGACTTTTCATCAAAATTCATTATTGAATTTCAGCCAGAGAAGATAAATGGAAGAATTGTTACGTAATGCTGAGTGATGTTTTGGGTTATCAATTATTCGTCTTTGAGAGCGAAAAGGTTTGTTTCTGTTCATTCATCGTTTATTTTTTGCGACCGACCGCATTTAATGTTGGAAATTATTTCCTTGCATATCACTTATATCAGTTCAAAAGTTAGATGAAAGGTGATAATGATGATGAAGTATCTATTTCATGAATGATATATAATAGAAACGAATTAGTTCATGCACTAAAGGAAGCAATTTCAGCGAGCCAAGCCAAAACTCGTCTTGGATTTGTGCTATTGTTTTGTTTATAAAGTGGATGAGAGTGTTTATGATCGATCGAATTGTTTACATGTACAACTGAACAGTTTTTCGCAACATTCTTCATCAGTACATCTCTCATTTCAAACTGAAGCTCACCTCTTAGTTTGGTTCAATAATTTACGTATTCGTTGTCTTGGCTATCCTTATTCTTCATCGCCTTTCGCTGTTCTGCCAAGCAGTAACACTATTCACAGTCGACTATCCACTTTCATTTCAATAACCATCGCAACCTATAGGTTATTCGTTATTACTATTATCATTGCATCTTTTTATTATTGTTGCTTGTTGCCAGTACAGGGCATCTATGAAGGTAACTCCCACTTTAATGCTGAAAAAAATTCACTAAAATTATGAAAATAATTTTACTACCATAACGGTGAGCATATCTTTGTCTACTTTCTTACATAAGTTTCACCATTTCACCATTATGTATCGTAGTGGGCTGTGGAAATGTCTCTTAGCAAAACAAGATCACGATTGTAAATAAAAGCACTCAACGCTTCGTCGAAGTGCTTCGCTTCATATGCAGGAAGGAAGGAATGATAATCCCAAAACGTTTATGAGCTAGTAGATGTGCTCTTTCATATGGCGGTGAAATTATCTTGATATAGTTTGTGTGAACGTTTTTCATATGGAAGTGGAAGTTTGTATTATTTGTTGATGATATGATCGTGCTTATTATTGAGTAGTTACGTAAAGATTTCTTATGAGATGTAAAGTAATATGTTCATGAAGTTTAGGGGTGTTGCACTGAGACCGGAAAATGGCTATAGTGCGTGCGTAATTGTAAATTCAGTGCGTGTTATACGAACAAGACCTGTGGTACCATCAGCGAAAAGCTATATTCCATTTGAGACACACTTTCTCATCGAGTTTGTTTTGTTACCGATTTATTTCCTTTTTCTATTATGATAGTTATATAATCGTGAAGAGTACGTTGTTGACTTGTCGTGTGTCGTTTTTCAATAGAGTTTTCATTTTTGCAACATAAATTTTCATGTAGTTGATCATATGAACTCTTCCATGTAGATTGTAGTCTAATAATTGATGGAATTTTCATCTCGAAAAATTTGACCATATGATTTGCTTCGTTAAATTTTAAGACATTTGCCGGCGGGATCGTGTAGCCTCCAGTTACAACTTTGCTGCCATAATTTAGGCAAATATCGTCAACCTATTATCAAAGATACTATAAAACGAGGTAGGTGTTAGTTACTATGTTGAACGGTACATCAGTTTATATGAATGTTAATTTATTTGGTTTCAAATGTCTTGCTTGTGGCACAGAACTGAATTTCGAAGAATGGACATGAATTAGGTGTTCTAACAGACGATCATCGAGTATGAGTGTCGTCATTTGGATGAGTGAAGAAGCGAGGTTGTGTTAGCAGAATAATTGATTGGAAGGTGGCAGATGAGGTGATAAGTGAATGATTTGCAGAGATGTCTGCAACGTACTCGTTAACAGATGATGGCAACGAATTGTGTGTATCGGCGGATGATTGCACTGAAGGGTTTTTGTTCCGTGCGAAACGTTTTCGACTCGTTGTTCTGCCTGAGGAGCAATATTCTTCTTTTATTCGTTTATTGACATCACGATCGTTCATCCTGTGTCAGTGGATTGCATCCCATTTGACTCCATTCTATCGTAAACATTTCGCCGCTTCACTTCTTTCTATACTCTTACCCGACCATTCACTCTTTTTTACATTCCTCGACGCAATTTTGGACGCTCAACTATTATTGGAACGAGGTGCGTATGGTTTTGTTTTGTTCATTTGATTCACTTCTGTTGGGAATTTATTGGAAAGCGTTCATTTTTTAACGACCCAAAGGAAATTTGTATGGAAAGAGTTGCGAGTTTGCGTGGAAATCTCTTCTTGATAGTGCTCATGTGAATTGGTGGAGAATGCTTATTAGAATCAGAATGCATTTGATTGGAATAGTGCTGGATTGTGTATGGATAGAAGAGACATGTTTAGAAGAGACGTTATTCCGCGGTGATTCGTTCTGTTCATGTTGTGTGTCGACAGCGGTTCGTATGATCGGACGAGACTTGGTCATTGAAGAGTTGATGCCCACTCTGCAGCAGTTGCATTGTGAAAAAGCACCGCCAGTTGACACCATCTCATTCATACGTCAGCTTTCATCGCTCATATCAACGCTACCACCTCTATTCGCTGCCGTCTTCGCACATGTCGCAAGTGCTTGTCATCGTAGATTTCCAACCACACCACACGCTTCTCGTCGAGCACTAAGGTATTGATTCATGCTCTACGTTACAATGCATGATCAATTATGAAGGATAATTATTTGAGCTGTAATTTTATCATTTTTTTAACGTTATTTGAGTGCATTAAACAGTTCTGCTCTTCAGTTTATTCATTTTTGCAGTGTCTTCTTGATACTTCGGTTCATCAATCCAATCTTGACACTATGGAATACAAGTGGTAATTTTTACGGTCGTTTCTTGTTTGTTTATCCATTCTTTTTTTTCAAGGCTGATTTATTTATTTGTTCGTCATTGATTTTGTGTGCTTTAGGAGGGCCCGCACGTGATCTCGCTAAAAACGTGCAAGCTGCAGCAAATCAAGCTTCATCTCCTGATTTTAAACCAGTTTGTATTTGTGTTTGTTCTGTTGTTATGTTCCATTTTGATCGCATCGAAATCTGTTTTATTAGTCAAAGTTATACTGAAGTTGAATCATGCTAAAAAGTGATCATATCAAGGACTTTTTATTCGGCATTAAATTTTCGATTCATTATTTGATTGATTGGCCGCTTATTCGATATTTTACGATTGTGTTATTGGGTGAAAAGGAAAATTTTACGTGCACATCAATAGTGATGATTCATATTATATGCGTTATTGTTGAATTGCGATTTTCTTTCAAAGGACGCTTCAAAAAAGATGGTTTGTACAATGGCCGAATTGATGGATTGCTTCATCTTACCTAAAGTTGTAAGTTCTCATTTCAATCAGTCTCTTAGTTAATCACTTCTCAGTATGTTTTCGTCATGAATATATGCAGTAAAATGCTGGCTGTTTGAACTCGTAAAGGCTATTGCTGTTGCAATTCCATTTCAGATAGACGATTCCAAAATAGCGAATCCATTCGTGGGTTATTGTAAGAGTGAACAGTTGGCAATGTTAGCCTTTCACGTCTCGCTAGTATTGCAACAAAAACCCAATGAATGCCCTGTTTCAGAGGCATACACTGTGCTGAGTCTTCTAAAAGATCATGAACTCAGGTTTATTAATTCACTTTAATTCAGTTTACTCGTCATACCTACTCTCCATTTAGTGTCTTCAGTTTTTGAGGATTATTCATTAGAATTTTATGGGTCTATCCCTCAGCCAAATGTTCGGTGTGCTGCTCTAATGTGGCTGAATTGGTATGCGAGAGTTGTTTTTAGGGTGGATGCATATGAGAATAAAGGTTTAAGTGATGTGTACTTTGTTTTTCAGTTTAACGAAAGCTCTCATTTACACTCAAATTCGCAATTTGACGTGTTTGAGGAACGTTTTTTTTAAAATTTTGTAGAGCATTGTACACTGTTTCGATCCAAAATTTCTTTTTTTGCGTGAACTTAGAACATGTGTCAGTGGTTGAGATCACACTTGTTATGAAAAGTGATTTGTTGTTATTGATTTGAGAATGAATAATCTACTCTAATCAAATTACGGTTGATTTCTAATCAGAATTAATGGATTGAGCGGTAGCTTGTTAGTAGAGCATTGAGACGCGTTTTTGTTTTTATATTTACTACTTTCACCCACATCGATCATCTCAAAACATTCGATGTATTATTATTATTATTATTGTATGTGTTGGATTTGATTCTTTTCATTCGTATTGAGAATGCATCGATTGGTCGATTAATGTGCGGAGATTTGTTATTGATCGATTGATCAGTTTTCATATTCGTGATCAAATAACTTATTTCTGTTTGAAACGTTGTTATGATGATCTTGTGAGAATTATTAGTCATTGTTGATATTATATGATAGCATATTTTTATTATGTATTATTTAGTCGTGTTTACTTTTTCATTTTCACCTATCGTCATCATCTCCAGTCTATAGCCTTATTAATGTTTGGAAGTTGTGGCCTTGTTTCATGAAATTGCAGGTTATTTGTTGTCGTTGACACGCTTTATATTCACATTCTTGTCCTCTATGAAATGATCCCTCCGCATTTCCAAAATATTTTCGATTGATACTGACTCGTGCAGTATGACAGTTTAACCCTAAATTGTAGAGGTGATCAGGTGTTTTCTCATCTCAGCAGGATGATCTTAAGATGGAGAATTGAAAGTAAAGAGTAGAATACGAATATACACCACATTAAGTATTTCGCATGAATTGGCAGGAAGTTCATATCAAAGAGCATCATTGATCTTGTTGGATGTTTAAATTTTCGGAGATGCGGACCAAAGAGCTTTATCTTGCGTACGAAAGCAAATTGTTTGGTATATACGTCGAGAATAGAGCGAAGTCATATCGTTTCGTCATTCATATTCGTTACTGTTGCCTTTATGAAAAGAAACTCAGTTACTTTCAATTGCACTTTCTTTATTGATTCTGCATATCGTTTGTACAAAGCAATTGTCTTTCTAAAGTAATTTTATGATGTAAATGCCGTCCGTGTATATGTTGTTCATCTGCTAATTAATATATAAATAAACATTTTAACGAAATTTGCTGATTTAAGTTGTTGGTTGATTTTGATGTGCTCATTGATTCATTGATAATTTAAACGTGAAATTAATGCACCAAAACCATATCATTTCATTTGTAAAATTATTTTTTTACCCATCACCTTTGTCTTGTCACGTATTTCTGTTTTTTATTTCTAGGATGGAGTTAAATTATGTGGAATGCTCACATTCTATGCTGTCTATCTTCCTTAGAACTTGCCATTTTGTCAACTTTATAAAATATTGTTTCTGTATTTGTATATGTACCAAAAAATATATAGATATACATGCATACATATATGTTCTTCCAACAACAACAAACCATTGAAAGATCAGTGAAGTTCAAGTAGCCTCTTTCATTCGTTCGGTTATGACTTTCGTACAATACACAATAACAACAAATGTTCATAACAATAAGAGCAACATGTTGTTTTTTCAAACAAAAGTTGAATATCATTCTCGACGAGTCTCTTCGTAACTTACTCGGGTATGTATAACATATTTAAACGGGTAATCACGCTCATCGAACTTCAGGTATCTACTGAGGATGGCACATGCATTTCTTTCTTTTATAAGAATTTTATGCGATTGCTTGATTGATTATGAGTGTAACTTTTAGACCCTGGTGAATGCTTTTTTACGAAATTCGATAAACATTGATCAAATATGCGTTCACGTACGGTAGTGCGTTGGTTAATCGAATGGTTCATTGAGTTCACTACCATATAACATTATTCATACATACAAAGAAATGAAAATGAACTGAAATCATCGATATCATATAAGCGTTAAGTAGAAAAGTGCCTCATCGCAAAATGTTCGTAAAGCATATAAAGTATTTCGAGGTCGATCTTAAAGAGTCGTTGTATATAAATTCACGAAAGTGTGCGACTCGATTCTCGAACGAGCCGAAAGAAAATGCTTTCATAGTTTGAAGCACTTCGTGTTAGGGAAAAAGTAAAGCTGAACATGGCAATAAAATGAAATATATCAATCAAATTAATTGCAGAATGACTATTTAAACACAAACACAGCAGTATCAGTCTGCGCAATACTGCCTCTTTCCATAGTTGCTTTCTTTCGAAGATTCGAATAGATCAGGTCGGTCATCAAGAATATCTGCAATTTTTTATAATCGCATTCTCTATCAATGCAGAACGGTAGTTGAGATGATGAAATGGGACGGGCATTCGAAAAGATAGAAACGTTTATCATTTGTTGTTGGAGTAGAACTGAAATGGTAGCTAACACTACTAATGAATAGCAATATACTTCTACCTGGGCCATACTATAGCAAAGAGTGACCGCAAAATAAAAATTTGCATTCCCGGATCCAGAAACAATCCACATCCGCCACATTACCGGTAAAAGTACAACGCAAGTGGCCCAAGTCACGGCAATCACCAATGTCCAACGCGCATCTGAAATGTTTTCGTTCCCGATTCCAACTGAGTAGCTTCTTTTGAAGATACATAGCAAGAGATGAAACAACATGAATATTTGTAACTTGCGATTTATATGTTTTGTTCAAAACGTTTCAAAAACTATCTCTTGACGACAACTTCACCTCAAAATTCATTTTTTGAATGAGCTTTCGAGCGTCAATTTGCTCAAATGTTCGAGATTTGACAAACCAGCAACAACAATATCGAACGAAATAATGTGGAAACGAACATTTATGAAGAGATAGGAAGATTGGCAAAAGACTTAAATAGATTGCACTGTCGGTCATCGTTGGATAAGACGCGAACACGGATAACAAAATCAAGAATTGATGCAACAAGAGAAATGCATTCGACCTTAAAAGTTATCTTTCTTCTTACAAATTATTTTTAACGTGCACAATTTGAAAACGAAGTCGACAATTCGGTTTGTAAGTAATCTTTTGAATTTGCTAACAAAATGAAACGAAACGTTAATTATCATAATCAGTCAATAAAATAATGCGAAGTAATAATACAACTTTAAATTTAAGAAAACAAACCGCAATGTTAATGTCAAAGGAAACAGATAAACGAATACGTTCAACTGAAAAACCCATAAAAAGAATAAACGAAAATGATTGAACACTTCGGTGAAGAAATACCAAAAGATGCCAACATTCGGCGTGAAATCTGGTGCACTTAAGCTGAAATTTTGCATAATTACAATCAGTGATCATTCAAACGGAAACAAAAAGATATGCCTAAAGCAGGAAGAAATGCGAACTTACAAGAAGAGATGTGTGGAGTAAATGTATTGCAATCCATTTGCACTATACATATCGATGAGTGCAAACGTAAAAAATGAAACTGCACTTAACAAACAAACGATGAATTTCGATTGATACGTATTGAAACGAATAAACAGTGCAAAAATGAATATGACCGGATAGAGTGTCAGCTCAATTAATAGACCACAAAGAATTGCGCTTCGTAGCAACCATCCTAAAACATAATATGCTCGTATGGCTTTATTCACGAGCACTCAAACCGAAATCCTTCAACAAAACGATGGTCGAAGTCGTACGCCGCCAAAAATGCAATTAGCTCTGTTGAAGGGGACACCAATGAGAACTAAGACAATTAATCATCGAAATTGACAATAAAACGAAATAATTTAAAAATTGAAACCTTTAATGAAAGAAAATAGAAAGATCGCAATCAATAGATTATTAATAACTGATAAACTGCAAATTGTGCAGCTGGCTATCACGATTGGATTGAAAAGATAGCTGAAATAATTAAAAGAGACATTAATTGGAAATAATAATATTAGCATCAATAATTAGTGTAATGAATGGAAAAGAGAGCAATGAAATGAATATAACAAACAGTTTCATGACGAGATTACAAATGCGACAGTGCTCCGAGGGCTTATCTGTTTCATTGCTTTTCAGATAAATCGATGCGGTCATACGCAACAATTCGGCGATGATAAAATCGAATATCTTAAAAAGAATTACTGCATTAACTAGACACAACAGTAATGTCTTGCTTTGATTAATCTATCTAAATTAAACTACTTTCGATCACTTAAACTTATCGAATAATTACTGTGAATTGTATTACTGATAAGCGATACAGGTGGAGGACGGTTATAAGCATGTATACATGAACTCATCTATTTTTTGCTTGCACTTTTGTGTGATAAAGCGATCACAAGGAAAATCTCTCGTAAACACACAAAAATAAACTTTAAAAGACGTACGACGAAAATAGTGAAAACAACGTTTGGATGATCAATAAACGGTTTCATCACATCGAGAAGCATTGGGGCCTGAAATTTTCAATAATTCCCATGAAAAAATGATACATACTGCTGTATGCCACTGATTTCATGACATAAGTGAATAAACGAAAATATCGCAGTGGAAATAATAATAATAATAATAATAATGTGATGAGAAGTAGAAGACAGACACAATGAAGCATATCGCCATCATAAGGTGAGAATCCATCAAGACGCATCTGAACACCATCAACAAGTCGACGATATGAATTATGCGCTACAACCAATTCAGGTCTTTTTGATAACCAATCGTGAGCATAAAATTTTGTTATAATACGAATTAGTACCGCAAACGAGAATAATCTGCAAAGAAATTTTCGAGTATTAATATCATTGCACGCAAACATCCTTTGCTGGACAATAAACTTTTGCATTGACGTCTGGAATCTTTGAGATTCGTCTATCGCTGGTGACAGTGGATTTTATTTCAATTGCAAGAAACAGTGATCATCGCTCCCTTTATGAATCACTAAAATTATGCTTTGAGAGATTCCACCTACGCATGCAAGAAAACATAAGGAACTGTTTCCGATGAAAAGCATCAACTCGAAATGATTTGATATAACATATGATATGAGATTATGCACTAAAATAGAAACATACAATAATTTCGATGAACTTTCAGCACTGAACAACGAATGCATTGAATAGTTTTGCGATGTGCTACACTAAAGTGCTTGTCACTCAAAAATACACCTGCAAAGCAATATTATAATTACTGAACCATCAAACAACGATCAACCCAAATAATTGCCGTTCGTGGCATAAGCACAAGAGCACAAAATTCCTCTTGAATTTCTGAAGAAAATCGCTCATTAAAACTTTTATTGAGGCTTTTTTGTCGTTTCATTTCATCTACTCAAACTAATTGCTCATATTCGACCATTCCTGAATCCCCACCCGAATAATTCTCTTCATGAATGACTGATCAAGAGTACAAATAAGCATATCAACAACTAAAAGATAAAACTAATTCTCAATGATAATGAAAATTTTAAACGTCACTGTAAGACACTTTGAAATCGCAGTATTGCTTTCCTATATACCTCCTGAATGGATGTAAAATATTATACTCCTCTCTCATGCGAAGTTATTCCGTCAACAAGTGGATCGATAGTTCGTTGATAAGATGAACCGTAACTTTTATACAAATGTTTTGCGCACTAAGGCCACCCACATCTCCATAGAAATCCTCCAAAAAGCTGTTTCAATAATTAAAAGCTTTTCGCGTACTTGAAGACCACACAAGACATGAGAGTTCCCTCTGTTCCCCCCCATCCCCCTCTTTAGCCTCCAGTTGAGAAAAAAATGAGCAGTATCAAAACAGTTGCAAAAATAATCCTCCGCAGCATCAATATCGTCAGTCGTTTATTCTAAACTTTCATCGCTCCTTTTCTCTAATTTGCGTTGATCTCTCATGCACTCCACTCGTCTTTGATCACAGTAGCACGAAGATCGCAGAACAAATAATTAATTGATTACCTCTTAATTTTTAGCGCTCTCAGAAGTCAGACATTAATTTACAGCCTTTACTCCAATTGCTCACCAAATCAACAAATTTTGGCAAAACTGAAGTGCATAAATAAAAATACATCATATGACACTGATAAAGATATCAGTATTGAATGGAACGGGACGGGCAATAAGAATGAGTCATTTGATGGAATGAAGTCATTTAATCAGAATCATCATTGAAATAAAGCCATTTCACGGCTACGACTTTGCTTACAATAACAACAAAATAACACAACAATAACTAATAATAATAGGAACAACCAACGGAAAAATTCAGACCATTTATTGAGAAACAAGTGCAAATGAACAGCATGAAAATATGCAGCAAAAAAAAAGCATTTAGCAGCTGCCGCGAAAATACTGAATAAAACAAGTAAATGCATACTTATGAACATACTTAAATACATTCAGGTGAATATTTGTCACGATAAGGATGACACTAAAACAAAGTGCTAATTGGTATTACCATATAGCATAACATCAATTTCACTACCGCTTTCTGTAAAACTAATATGGAACACTCGGAATGTGTTTGTTGACATTCAATAGAGATGCATACTCTCGTTTGATTGCAGTGCTAGTGATCTGAGTGAATTTTTCTTTTCTTAGAAAAAAACGAAACAAATCAAGAACTAATATAGCACTACACTATCAAGCATAAAAATCAAATCCGATCACATTGTTTCACGCTTTGCTTACTTTACACCTGCATATTCATTCGATCATTTTATGAATGGAATCTGAGAATGATTAAATTCAAATAACTGTACCACAAATTATTTAATACACGAATTCGCTGTGATTATATTAACAATTATCAATAACAATTCAAAGATCTATCCACATTAGAACACATGGATTTGATCAGTGATTCTCACGACTCACGACATTCGTCCACACGAACAGTCTACGTGACCTCGACCCACCCTTTACCTAGCCATCAATCAGAAAATTAGTTCACTGATCAAGAAGTTTGCTGCCATGAATTCGTCGACAGTATCGAACGAATTAATCCCTTGTAATCAAATAAACATTTTGAAAATTTTACTGAACAACTATGGGAGAATAATGAGGAAAAAACCAAATTAAAATGACTAGCCAACCCTCCTAATCCATTCTCTCCCCTAAAAGGTCTTAAACTCTTTTCAGATGATAATGTCCCTCTGTGAGAATTACTGGATTAGATTGTCAGATACTGTTCGTATAGGAATTATTTAACAATGCAAAGTTGCATAAAAATATTCCATAGTGGTAAAATTACAACAAAAATGAATGGATAAATGAAGCTATCGAGTAGTAGATGAGAATGTAATAATGTTCGCATTGTTCGTTGGATGACTTGCAGAATATCATCATTAGAACCGATCATAAACCACCGAATAATAGTGACAATAAACACCGGATGTGTTAGAAACCCAAATATTGCTTTCAGTCGTTTCCCTCGCCTGGAATACAGCTGATATTACATGGACGATATTTAATGCCTTCAAATCATCGAAAGACCAGAATCTTGCACTTCATATTGCAGTCTTCTGATCCATACGATTCAGATGAAAAGTCATCAATAAAACGTGAATTTTGCAAATTTGACAAAGAGTCTACTGGAACAATGTAAATTTAATACCTTGAATTGAATAGAAGGATAAAAATGAGTATAAATGGCATGGAAATAAGAGAAATGATCAGTGCCATAGAAAAATTTAAGAGTGATAGTGAGCCAAATATAAGGCAATATTCGATGTAGAAGACGAAACGAGTTGAAATCTCGGATGACTGATGCCTAGAAAGGATGGAGTTATTTGTGTATATACCAGACTATTCGGATATGAACATCACAATAATTCTTTGAAAAAAAAGCAACATTGTGAAATGAAACTTTTGCTGTTTTCTGAACAGGTTGCAAGGTCAAATCTAATCAGTAAAACTGTAATCGTCTTATATGACCACCACACAGTACCATTTAAAAAATTGAAAATCACGGAAATACAACCGATGTAATACTTACAGAGGGAATAGGAAATAATAGGGTAAAATAAGTAGCAGGAGAGATACAGGCACACAGAATTTACTCAAAGTTGATGAGCTTAAAGTTGTTGAAACAATATAAGTGATGAGACCAATCATGTGAAACACGGCATATGAATTTGATAACGAAAACTGTCCCATTGAAAACCATTCACGTAATGCCTATAAAGAATACAAACGAAGAATGTTTTCACCAAGACTGAATTCAGTGTTTACCGATTTCGAGAAATTCGAATAGTTTTATCAATTGGTCTGAATGGCATAGATACACTGAATGGATGAAATGGAAACGAGTTGTTGAATGATCTCAGTCGATGTTTAAGTTTCTTGTTACTTTGAAACTGAATTTATGACATAAATAAGAAATTTTGAATTTGAATTGAACAAAATGAATAACTGAATAAAACTTACTAGAACAATCAGTGGAAAAAGAAGAATACCAATTGAAGGCATATAATAGGCAACCGAAATAAAACGTTTTGGATTCGACAGAATGTATAAGAAATATGACTGGTGAAACCTTTCGAGAATGTTGTTCAAAGATCTGAATAATGAATTCACTTGGTTAATTATTTTGAATGCATCAATCCAATGAGTCATGACATGAATTTGATGGTGAGAAGTAGCAACCGATATAACTGCGCTAACCGCATAATGTCGTGACGTATTCATGCGAACAAACAGGACAAGCGAACAAACAGGATATTTTACCCACAATTGTGAGAAGGTCGGTGTTGTAGAAATTACTTGAATTCAAATAAAAAATCACCTTAACGTGCCCTCGCATATTCTTGCAAAATGCAAAAACGATATAGTTGGATCGATACCACTTTTGGCGTGGATACTCACTCCTTGAATTGCGTACAGGGAGAATACACTGTGAAGAGAATTGTCATCTTGGAATGCCTTAATTTTTGACATTGCACTATTGAAATTTGGAAATGAACACGTACGTTTTGAACAGATCTTAAACCTTTTCGTAAGGAAACTCATTTGATTGACAGCAACGAGATGATTAAAAAAACGAGACCGAAACCATCTGGAGATTACCTGAGCTAATGCACCATCCAAAGCAATCTCGGCAATTTCTGGCCAGCTCCTTGATGCGAATCTGTTTTTATCATACAATGTGGGTGTTACGTCAAATTTATCAGCTAAGCGAACAATCAAGTTGACAATGTCAAGATTTGGCAGTTGACCATTGATCATATTGAATTCTATATTCAATTTCGAAAAACTGTTTCCTGATGTTTTTGGTACGAATGCACCAATTATTGATCCTGAATGGGCTTGAAGAGGATCGATATGAATGAACTGATGATGCACACGACCGTGATATGCATCAAGAAATGCACGCATACCCACCCGCGATTCTTGCACGAATACAAATATCAGATCTCTCGCCCAGTAGAGTTGTTCTGGAATGAAACTTTTACCGAAAATACACACAAAAATTATACGGAAATCGTTAACAAGTGATGTTTTCAGGATGGCTTAGACACGTCATGATTCATGTTATTATTGGTCAGCGAGTGAAACCGCAGAAAGACTCAATCTTTTTCACACAAAGTCCCTACATTCTCACTCGTTGACTAATAATAATAATACTCCATCAAATATTATCAAAAGCGGTCAACTGCAACGGGAACATTAGTTGACTAGAATATAAACATATTTAAATCTGATCTGTGAGAGGTGAATATTTCATTATCTACTCAACACCAACTGAACAACAAATTCTGAAACAACAGCTAATGAATACTAGTGGCGTAGCCACAAGGCACCGAGAAAGATTGAGATGCACCAATCCCGGAACCGCTGAAGTCAAAAGATTATCACTGATGAATGCTACCGTTCATTGACTAAAACTGCACACACCTTTCACACTCCATCATATAAAATGTCTTGTATATTACACAATTGAATAAATGAATTCAAACCGCGACAATGAGTGGCGAGTGCAAGCGTTGTAGCAATAGCACCAAAGGATTGCTCATCTAACGCAACCGCAATTAATATAGACTCGACTGAGGGCGACCGACCCGAACGTATCACTCCGTAAACGTTACGACCCGAAACATTCTTCTGCAGCGAAAAGTGAAATCTTACAGAGACTGAATAATGCAGTTACTTTGCTTTCAACGATGAACGCACAAAATTTGCAGCCTCACATCCGAGTTGCAATTTCATGTTGCAGTGCGAATCCTTCTTTTCCCGATGGGTTTTATGCTAGAGCAGCATCAATTGATTTACTGACTCATTTAACTGTCAGACAAATAGATTCTTGTGGGCATTCGATCAAGTGATGCTGAACTGACGAAGCATTAAATTTCGAGAGTAATTTAAAATTAATGAACTTGAAATGAGTTAAGTGCAATATTCTGAAGTGGTTGAATTATGCATGAAGCACGGAATCATCAATACAGCAAGAGGAATTAACAGACAGAAACAAAACGAACTTCTCGCAAACATAAAACTAACATATTCAGGTAATTGACGTACATCAAATTTCTGCACATATGTCTCGATTCCATAAATTTGCAATTGCTTTTTCACGTAATCTACCATTTCACTTCAAAAATTATTTTCATTTCAAATTAGAACGACCGTTAAAATCCTTCAGATCAATACTTTCACCGAAAACACAAGCAATACGAAACCAAAACGAAGCAACGCACCTCTGCTGTGAGAGTGCCTTCAAAAAAGTGCCAATTCGTTCGGCATACGAGAAATGCTCTTGTACAAGTGCTGGCAATAAAGCATTTTCTGAGATGCGTGTACGTTCATTATATTCGGGTAGCATTAAAATCGCCAAATAAAGTACACACGTCAATTCACTTAATAAACAAATCACTTTCCATTTAGATACCAAACGTTCGATCAGTTGCGGGCGTTTTCCGGTTGATTGAGTCAGTGTACGCATTATGCCTACCTATAACTTGAGACATCATTTTCAAGGAACATATTAGACACATCTACTATTCTTGATAACACGCATTACAAAACTGATTGCATTTGCGTGAATCATTTCAACGCATTTGCTAAATGCGATTATTCCACTTCCTTCCTTCCAACACAAAAATGTAAACGACACATCGATAGCTGCTAGGTGTGTTCGCATTGAGGCATAGTCAACTTTAGTCAACATTCAATATCCATCTCTTGTGGGCAGGTGATAAAAAATTCTACGGAGCGCACTTGCTGAACTCATAGTCAAATTCACCAACATAAATGAATTCATAAAGAAACGAATTTGATCAGATACAGATAACTTGGTGAAAACTTCGAAAAAACGAAAACTGATGCAAATAACGACAACAAGATACACCGAAAAATTCACCGAAAAGAGACAGTTTTTATTATTGATAAAACACAGCCAATAAAAGCATTTTTACAAAGAAAATTAACACGAACAAAACAAACAAAGTGATTGAATAAGCAAAGAAGACTAGCCAATGATAGCGTTTAACTTATTAAAATAATAACAATAACAAACGATTACATATCAGTGAATAATTCTAATTACAGATTGAGTATTATTATTATTATTATTATTATTATGCCGATTTAACGGATATATGTTACAATTTCTGAGTTTCTCAGTCCTCAGACAAAACTTTTCGAAATTTATCGATAATTTTTTCAAATATGGACAGATCTTGGCTGACTGATTGTCAGTGGATTTCGTTGTGAATAAATCGTCAATGCTCATGTCAATAAACCAAAGAGCTATACTCAATCCCTAAAACACAATAAATACAAAACGAGAATCAATGCATAGCGTAGAACCGTCACATAACAAAAATGCACACAATCAAGCTCAGTGAAAGTGCTGACTAACTGAAAAACACAAATATAGTGAAAGTCGTGAAAAGCTTAAAAAAGGGAAAAACAATTGAGAATCATCTCTTGGGGGAGGTGATAAATTCAATTTTCTTACGGATATTCAAAAATTTGATGTATTTCTTTGAATGAGAATTTCTGAGATAAGAATATCAATGCTGCAAAACTGAGCATATTGCACATGCGAATGATCCTTGATAGAGCACTAGTAATGCAATTCGTTAATTTCTTCAAAAGTTCAGTCGCAATAGACCTAACTTAGACAATTCAATTAAGTAGCTCAATCGAACGATTATGGATCATTCAAAATGTTCATGCATAAACTGGCGACGAGTTCAGAAAATATGTAAATAACAATTATAAGAAGTGACAAAGATAGAATACAGATATGCTAAAGATCAAGCGTACGATAAATTACAAATATTGGAGTACATTCGAGCAAACAGGGGCAATTGATCGCTTGGGAACGAGTCGAATATGAAGGGAAGACGTTCAAAAATGAGGGGGACCATTACAAACAAAATGAAATGAACTACTGCACATTGAATGAGCATACACATTTGTTTATCAAGGACATTCATAATAAGCTGTCATACAACTTCGTTTGCATGCGTTTTCAGCAATGATATCAGACGATAACAAATCATTCGTCCTCAAATTCACTGTTCTCACTAACTTATTGTACGCTCATTTTAAGTAGAATCATCAGTAAAAGCATTTGATATAAATATACTTCAATTCTTTCAAATGATTGCATGACTGAAAAAAGAGTGAACTAACGAAGTGTTATTTTGCAAAAGATTCATTAAAGAATTGACAAACATCACGCAATATTTTCTCATTTGCATCATTCATGGAACAAATATCATGCGAAATGCATTTAATATGATTATTTGCTTGAATGCAACATTCATCATATTCAATGAGAACAAGATTCTGTCTTTTGATCAATTTTTAGCACTTTTCTGCTCACATTAGCACAACCGCATAAAATTTTTTTTGTCGTTGATACTTTGTTTTGCTATATGACGATGCTTTGAGGTAAAAATTAATAACAGCCAACAAGGATGAATATCGACTGGACTATTTCAAAGACCATGATCGAACGAATAAAGTTTTGAAAAATAACCTGACTGATTGGCTATACACTGTCAATGCTAAGTAGTTTTTAAAGCGATGAGATGCAAGCACGATTTCATATTCATGACAACGAATGATTAACTACACCAAACGATACTTAATGAAAAATCAAATCAATTCCATATAGAACGTATGAATTTCCCGATCCGAAAAATTATAAGTCTTAGTTTGTTGAATGTATAAACCAACAGAAATAACTGATCATCAAAATTTAGATTCATATAAAATATTCCTCAAAACGATGAAAGTGTCTCTTTTGAATTCAACGGGAATTTATCGTTATAAATATGATTATAATTCATCGTAATTTAAGAGGTTATGGTAATGAATCTCACAAATACATTCGATGAGCATGTGCACATAGTATTATAAAAAGACGAAGATAATTTTTTGTTGAACGAAACTGCTGTCACATAAAATACAGAAATCCACTAGAGCAGCGGTTCTCATGCCCTTACATTTTATGTACTTCTGTGGAAGAATGGCAACCACTACTGTCTCATTCGCGCGTCGATGGCATTAAAGTTGATCATTTCACTGCGGGCAAATACATAACAGAGAGCAATATTTCAAAAAATCAATTAACTTCACTTCGTCAATTCGATCAGACTTTCCCCCTCCTCCCCCTTGACTTCTTTAAATTTTTCCGGAGGGATTTGTTTTCTGCTCTCCTATGAGAACCACTGAATAGAAAACTACACCTGAATAGACAACAATTATTAAAGAACGAATTAGTGAATAAATAGCTTTAACGTTCCAACTTAGACTGAATATTCGAAGGACGGCTTGCTCACATAGGGTGCTGCAAACGGATTGAACCAAGAAATCGAGAATGGACCTCCGAAGATCATTTGCACATTCTTCCAGCTATCAGGACCTGTAAACAATAAATTGCTGCTCGCTTATCACAAATTGTAGTTAACAGCAGCCTTTCGTCTCGCTCGAATAACTCCGATAAACAAACAATGAACTTTAACAACTAGAGAGATGATGATGATGAACAGCACAAGTTTTCTACCGATTAAAAATTATGCTACGAGCAAAAAGAAATATGACTGAAGGCTTGATAGAGTTAAAAGATTGAAGAATTAAAAAGTATTATGACAGGCATGCGGAAGTTGAAAAGGCTTGAAGCTGAATGAGGAAAACAAAGAAAGTTTTTTTAGAAATTGCGATCGGTGAAAAAAAAACAGCGATCTAAAATTACGTCAAAATAATGTTAGGTGCAGAATTAGACAAGTAATTACAAGTATTTCAGAGTATAGATAAATTATTTTTAGGAGCAAATGATTTCAAAATTTGAAAAAAAAANAAAAAAAAAGACTTCACAACTTGAACTCAACAACAATTCAAGAGTTTATAATTTTAAAAATGTATCGTTTTGAACGATAGTCATAAAATATGTACTTTAATGAATAGATGAATAAATGAACCAACCAGATGTGAGATGTTCCTGTTTAAGAGATTCAATTGTGGTTTGATCACTACAGATTGAACTCATTTGAGTGCCAAACATCACGAATGTGAATATCGAGAAGAGAATCGCTTCAAACAACAAAAAAATCAACAACAATGTAGTGACCGGTGGACCGAACAAGGAGCATCCTCGCCATTCTTCACCAACACATAAAACGAACTGCCAAATAGCCCAGTAGAGTGCATGCGATGACAGTAATGCTATATACAACTGTAAATTGTTTTTTCAGTTTACTTTCAGTTGCAAGAATGATCATATCTTGCTTCTTCAATCACTAATACCGATCCATAAAACTATATAATAGGTAGTGACCACATCTACGGTAATTGATTCAAACAATCAGCACTGGTGCAATTCATAAACAACAGTTACGGTAATAATATCAGTCTGATTGTGCACAATGTTTCAAGACTTGCCGCAAAAGCACACTCAATGAATTCAGACTTGGTTTTCACGCGTAGAAATAATTAAGAGAAGAAAGGAACAAACCGTAAATAAAACAAAATACTTCTGATTGCCCTCACCAACACAATTATTCACCCATGGACAATGATGATCCATTCGCCGAACACAACGTCCACAAACGCTACAGTGATGAGCACGATCTGGTTTAACACTGCTACTGAAGATATAACCGAAAAAAAACATAGCGACAACAATAACAACAGAAAAAAACAATAGTGTTTACCACAAATCTATTTCAGGAAATGGCTAAACAAATGTCGAAAAAAAATTGTTATTGCAAGATTAACGTTAAGGTCTCATTCAAGTATTCTGGGTCAAAACAATCTGTGGATACGAGAGATATTTTATACGACTTTAGGGAATACGAGCGAATGAATAAAACCCTTAAAACGAGCTTTAATAGAAAAGCACTTTCGAAGTGGGAATAAAAACGAACAAGCTAACGAACCATTTTGAACATTTATAAACGGTCGCATTACTCTGATGCTGTAGTCTCTGAATGAACTCATCAGTGGCGTTGCCTTTGGGTACTGCGCCTGGATCAGTAAGCATCGTTTTAAGATGAGATGAGAGAGCCAGAAACGAGAGTATATGGAAAATGATTGCATTCAGTGACTGATGTGTGGTGTGCTCCCACCATGAAGCCATCATTACTGTTAAAACGCAGAATTCACCATACAATAATAATAACCTAAAATCTCATTTGAAAACTGGATACTTTAAAGGACGAATTCAATGAAACTATTCCTTTGCAAAAACATGCTCGAATAATCATCCACAGTTGTTAATCGAACAATCGGTAAATCCAATCGAACGCTTTTTAAAAACAATTTCAAAGGAGAATACAAAACTTAATGAAGCAAAACAAAAACAACAAACCATGTAATAACGGCACACGTGAGTCCGCAAGCGTCCTTCACACACCATGAACAACCGCAAAATCGTGTCTTGTCACTTGCATAAACCATTTTCACAAATACCAATTTATTTTCATTTGTCAGTCACATTCACTCACATCTGCTGAATTGCAAACACTTTCATAGTGACGATAATAACGCTGCAAGTTATGACCCTGTAAATGTTTCTGAATCGTTACATATGGTCAACAGTCAACTTTCGTGCTGAAGGGCACAAGTTCAAGACGCATTCAGCAGTCTACTGCCATATAATTGACGATGAAGGCCTAGCGATTGCCATTGGAATAGTTTGAACTATTATAATTACCTAACAATGATAACCGATAAACAATAATCGTGGTGTTAAAAAATGAATAACAAGAATAATTGAATGGATGAACACTTTGCAAAATTAAATTTTTTGGAGTCAGAAAGTATCAGCAAAAGTTGAGAATGTAACCATACGAAAAGAGTAATGAAGAAATGGCAGCACATGATAATTTTTATAGCTTCAAAAGCAAAACACGCACGCACAATCCAAAGGACATTCTCGGATGACAACAACAGAAATTTCAGCAGATGAATGACTAACAAGAAATTCATGAAAAAACAATTTGACGCAACTTTACACTTCATTGCATGCTCGGTTTCAAAGTAGAAAACTTAAATATGAAATGCTTAAAGCTTGATTGAACAACTTTATAATTATTTCTTTGTTATTCATATGGATATGTATGTGTTGCACTTTTAGAAATTATTGTTGCGAAGCAAGCAAAAATGAAGGGTTCGCGTATGGACGAGCAAAATTCATTGACTCAAAATATTTAGTTATCCGATCACTGTTGATCTGATAAGCGTTAAACGTTAAAATCGAAACGGATAGTCGTCATTTAAAGAGATAATTCGATTGAAATCTCCCCTGCAAAAGAACGTTCCAATTCCGTTCGATTGGATAACTTTTACTAGAAATTAGATTACGGCGTTTGACGCTCATAACATCAATTTTGTGTGTACCGCGAATATTGATTGCAAACTGAAGACCAGCACTTATCTGCGATTGCTCAATTGGTACAGCAATCAACCTAAAACGATGTGTCGCCAGTTCAAATCCCTCTCGGCATGGAGAGTTTCGCCCTGAACTTTTACACCATTCTGCAAACAAAACACACTACACTATTATCAGAGTGTAATTGCAATCTGGACATTTGCAACTCAGATGATTGCATCGCGAATGTCTGTTCGCCACAATTCGTTTCGGTTCGATTTTTGAGCAATGCGATTGGTTGTTCACTAGTGTGTGCGCATAATACTTACTATGTGGCTTAAGCCTAAGCCTAAATCCAGGCCTGAACCTAAGCCGGAACGATATACGCGCACACAGTGGTGAACAACCAATCGCATTGCTAAAAAAGCGAAGTGAAACGAATTACGGCGAACAGACAGTCGGAATGCAATCATCCGAGTTGCAAATGTCCTGGTTGCAATTATCTGTCACCCTTATCAGATGGGCGTACTGATAAGGTGTACACACAATTTACCAACTCGAAGCAAGTGACATCTTTATTCGATGCGTGTTAAGAAATCTGAAGTATTTTATCCATTTGACAAAAACCAGTTTCTATAGCACTTCTTAGCGCAGATCCAATATAATAAATTATAACTTATGGAGGTGACAGCAATAGAGATATATTTGAGTTTTTCTATTTATCTTGAAGTACAATAATTGAAAAACGATTGAAATTGCTATTAACCTGACATGAAAAATTCATAATCAAGGTTACACCATCTTGTAGTCGAGATCCAGTACTTTACAAGAAGATAATGACCTCAGACCGGAAGTTTTATGTTACGCGAGTTACGCTATTTGAGGTGATCAGTGGTGATGTTCAATAGTCACAATTGGTATGCATTGGAGTAATTGAAATTGTCTTTGACCTGAAAGAAATGATGAGTAAAGTGGACATATATCCTCTGCTAACCAGGATTCACTAGTTTGCAATAGTCAATGTAACAAACTTTGAGCGGAAATGTTAAATTACGAAAGTTATACTGTTTGGCATGATTAGTGGTGATGTTCGAAGTCATAATTGGTATATGTTGGAGTAAATTTTCATTCAAATGATAACAACTTCTATAGTGATAAGAACAACATCAATAATGGCAATGAAATAGATGTTAGATACAAGTCAGGTCACAGCTTGGTTCAGGCTCAATAACATTAATGACAACTGCACACCACTCGGTTTCGAGCAAAACTTTTTCTCGCAAACGTTCGCAGACAAATTTTTGTGTCAGTGTGTTGTTGTCGTTAGAATTTACATCATCAGTGCACAACTCAAAAAATCTAGACATGTCCGAGAACTCGAATCAATTAAGTTATTTTCAGGGAATTTGCTGACTCAGGTATTGGACAAAGCTTTCTTGTTTTCATTGTATACAAAAAAATTTCAGTTACATCATCGTCAACGCTGATATTTAATGAATGAGAAACAGGAAACGTGTTGAAACGACATCGATGGAGCACTCAGACACATTCGTGTTGTTGTTCAGCCATGGAGAACGAACTACTGGAAGGGATATAAGTAGACTGGAAGGATTTTGTAAATGCTCGATTTTATGAACGATAAACTGTCCTGCAATACGGCATATTTATCACACTGTTGTAAACTCCAATTTTAGTATATGTTCATCGGAATGAGTTTCTATGAGTTTTTATCACGACCATATTTATTATTATTATTTATTATTAATTATTACTTGGACATCGAGTGGTTGTTTTGTCAATCGCAGTGAGCGATCGGCGGAATATTTATTTTATTAGAGTAATGATTATTTATTGAATTGGTATTTGACTGCGTTTAATTATGCAAAGTATTCACAGCGACTAATTATTTACTCGGTTTTGTTCGGTTGGCCTGCTCGCCTAGCCAGCGGAGTGGCGTAAATTGAGGCTAAAACAATGCGCAAGGAAACATTGCGAGCATTGTGGCCAGCAACGTTATAAACGTTTGATAGCCTGACCGATCCAGGTTATCCAGATTGTAAACTCGTGAATCCCGGCCAGAAGACGATATACACTTTCCCCAGTAATTATTTCTCTCAGGACAAAAAGAATTCTATTTACTTCAACACACACCAATTGTGACTATGGAAGAGCACCACTGATCATGCGAAATAGCATAACATTCGTAACTTAACATTTCCGATCAAAGTTCATTACATTGTTGCAAACTACTCAATACTGGCTACAAGATGGTATGCATCTTAAATTTCAATAATTTTTCAATTTTTGAATTCCAAGCTAAATAGAAAAAACTGAAATATATCTTTACTGCTGCCCCCCCCCCTCCCCTATACCCCATGCTTCATTCTCCTAGATCTGCGCTACGAAAGATAGGTAAACAACTTGCAAAACACAGCGCACATTCCATTCATTAGTTATAGCAATTTTGGAAAGTTGTACGATGTGGTGCCGTCAACAGAGTGAATTCAATGCAAGTGATCTGCTCAATTCCTTTCCATTACATCACTTCTAAAAAATACTGCAACATTTTCCTGAGATAGACTATAATAATAGGAAATTATTCAGTTAAAACTGATTTTATTTGAAACAGAGTTCAGCACTTTCAATCATATTATCACGGTAAAGAACAATGCTTTCAGCGATTGAGACAAATGAAGGTTAGTTTTGCTAAAAGCTGCATTACACGTGGATGTTTGCCTGGAGAAAGTGGTTGTCAGGCTGCACTTGAAATAGGTCCTTGTCCCTCAGCCTGATCAACATGCTACGCAAGAACGAAGTTCAGAAAACCTAACTCAAAAAATGATTTCCATAATCCGAACCGAACCAAATCCCGAGGGTTTCCGATACAGAGAGATAGACTATAACAATATTTTTCTGATACTTATCAATCAGTAGGAACGCTTGTAGACATATTACCTCGACGTTTATTTCTCAGTACATGAAGTATGCCTAAATGTGGGAGATATGTCCTGTGGTGTGTGGGAAATTGGAAACTATTCAGTTAAAATTGATTTTATTTGAAACAGAGTTCAACACCTTCAGTCAGATTATCACGGTAGAGAAGTATACGTTCAGCGATTTAAGCTTTCACATCAAAATGCCGTAACTCTTTAAGCAAGTAAACAATACTGCGATAAAACAAATGAAAGTGATCTGTGATTGTTTCGTTTTGCTGTTTCAATGGGAATGCGCCAATGAATAATCAATGCCCAACCTCACCAGCTTTACCAGATACCTGGAATTGTTCGCAGATAATAAGCAATTCAGATTTCAGAAAATAAAATTTTTGAATCATTATGTGAAAATGCGATGTTTACTTACTCGTTTGAACTCTTGCATATTGGTGGCCACCAGTGGTGTGCCATAAATTCGCAGCGATTCTAAAACGGTTTGCTCTTCATCACCCTGATTATCTTCCACAAATATTTGCAAATTTTGCACGTTCTGGAATTTTACATAACGCAAATTCACCAATTCGCCATCGCTGACCTTGAAAATGCAACAAAGTTCACTTTGGAATGAGGTAAATACTTTAAATAATTAATCCTCAAATGTAATACCCAACTCCCGCTCCCCCATTCGATAATATCGAAGAAGAGCCTTGTGAAAGTAATCTCTTTAAGATGTTTCAGAGAAAACAGCAGAGGATAATATCAGAAGAAGAGGTAAGTTATGGAAACGTCTGAAAAATGAACAAGACTGATAGGGAAATCATAGAATATTTTGGTAAAACAGCATCGTTGTATTGAAGTGATGAGATGAAACGCAAATTAACGATTAAAATAAACCTTATCTGAGAGAGTAATCGACTGTGTACTCTCGGCACCAGATGCACGATCAAAGTCGAGTATATCAGAAGTGTTAATGAATAATTTAACGGTTCTCGGTGACGATGAGCCGTCACCTTTGAAATAGATGGAATGCACTTTAACGGGTTGTGTGAATGGAAGTGATATAATCAGTTGAGCATCGCAATCTGATTTCAAAACACCTTCACCATCGATTAAGTTCTTGAGAGTGGCATGATCGTCCTCATTTAGGCATTCAATTTGAGATTTGTTTATGAAAGAAGTGAGATCAATTTGACCAGCAACGAGACTTTCTTGACGAGGCGCACGATCAGACCACTTCTTGATCAATACTTCGAGAGCACTCGCGTCACCCCCACGCATACTGTCCACCTTCACTTTACTGACGTACACAATAAACGTCGGCATTGCCGTAACCATATTCTTACGTGAGAGTTCTTCATTCGACTCTACGTCCACCTTACCGAATACCACATTTGTATATTTCAGTGAAAGTTGTTCGAATACAGGAGCGATACGTCGACATGGTCCACACCAGGTTGCAAAAAAGTCGATTATAACAGGCTTTGAACCAGCATCGCTTAGCAGCTGATTATATTGACCTTCCGAGTCAATGTGTGTGATAACCATTATTACAAAAAATTGTACTTATTTATTTAGGAATATATTTTTTTAATCTGCAACAAAAATAAATGAATAATCCATCCACGGAGGCGAAGAAAATCATTCACAAAATTGAAAAAAAGTGTCCAATCATAACAACGCTCAGCAGGTTGACCTGATCAAAGTCTCACGGAGGCAACTCAAGGGTTATGTTTAGTCAGCTGTAGAGTTCAAGAGCAAAACTCTGCCAACGAACTGCACACGGAAATTTTGAAAAAACGTGAAGCACAAATGCAATACCCTTTCACATTCAAGTGACCGTGTGCACGTAATTAAACCATACAGTAGTTGATTGATTTATGATAAATGCGAACTGTATTAAACACTCAGATAACACGATTAGCAGACTATTCTACCAATATTTTGCAATGAAACTTTTCAACTTCGCCCATCATCACATTTGTGAACAGGTACTTCGAATTCTTTCTTTAAAAAATAGAGCAGAATTCATTTATTCAGATAATCACAACTAATATATGTAATGCTCAACAAGGGATCATAATCTGTGACGGCTCAATAATTGCTGATAGTACAGCACCGAAATATATTGCCATCAGAATAATTAGATTATACCATGATAAGCACATATCAGATAAAATTTTGTTGTTACCAAACAAATGAACCGTTTCCAACAGACAATTGTACCAGATTTAATTTCATGCTTTACTTATTCCGTTCCAACAATTAAGTATGTATTCAATCAATAATCGAATAAAAAAATCTTCTGATGGACGATGACACGATAAGATATCAAATAAAACATGCAACCATCAAAAGCTAACCCATACCTTACACGGAACATAGTACATGCTGAAAGATGATCGAACGTATTCATAAAAAGAAACACATTCCAGAAACATCATAAATGAGCACTTAAAGCGTGACGCTGTCGTAGAATAAAACAAAATAAATCTTTCGTACAAGAAAATACATAAATTCATTCACGCAATATACATCTGTTATCGGATCAATGATATTATTAATAAATAGCAAATTAATACTATTCAAACAGAACACATCATTCCACTAAAATACTACAATGAAATAAAATATGATCGTCCTTTATCCAACCCATTTTCTACGTACGTAATCATCTTCCAAAACGCAGAATAACAAGCATGAAAAGAGCATGAATAAAATTAATTTCACAATTATGAACTAAGTAAATGAATGTTCAATTAAAAAAGATACTATAATAGAGAATAAGTTTCATAGTTCCACAGATTTAATTACTGTTGAAATATGTACTTAAAGAAATAACCGAATAAAAATTCTTCCATTCAATCCAGTTTTGAAAGATTATAACGGAAAAATTTTTGAGAAGCAGCAACAGCAGCAAAGCAAACAGAAAGCCCGTGTCGAAAGCACAGTTTATGGGTGTAAAATTCGAAATGATGGCTTATAAAATAACATAATCAATGAAATAATATGAAGAATCTTATAATCGTTGATTATGATATCTTAATTACATTGTCAACAGTTCGTTTCAATTTGATAAATCAACGAACCGTAAAAGCGGCAATCGACTGGTAAAAAATTATCAATCAATTGATAAAACAATTCAATTCAAACATATTTCTGCATTACCTTATGTTTCAAGGATTAACAAATTTAAAATGGCAACAACCTTCCATATCGATGATGATAAGGGAAACAATATAGTGATCGATTTTACAAAAGAAAAAACAGTATATACTACCCAAGTATGAAAGAAATAAACATATTACCACTAATTAACGAGTGAAAATATAATCTATAAAGAAGGATACAGTTTTAGAAAACCGTAATGAATTGCGAGTAAAAAGTGAACTGTTTTGTCGTAAATACAAGACAAAGACTTGAACAAAGTAACGAAGTAGCCATACATTACGTGGCGCGACCGCAAATCCATTTTACAGTTGAGTGTATTAATGAAACGTTTTCTACAATTCAACTTATCAGTAGTTGCTGATTTGATGCTGAATAAAGAAACACTGAAGAGATTCCGATGGAACTCATTCAAAAAGATACCACAAATTTCATGAAGTGAACGCGTCACTGTTTTGAAACGATGTTGCCGATGAAATTTTTTGATTACAATCACAGAAAGTGAAATTGAACATTTCGTTGAAAAGCATAAATCAAAAGGAAAAAAAAACTGGCTAAAAACATTGTTCAAAAATTAGCTCAAAATTTGAAAAACGCATAATAACAGATAATTAGATACAAGCCAAATCATAGCCTGGCCCAGGCTCGCAACATCAGTGATATTGGTACACCATTCGGTTTCCAGCAAAACTTTCCTCCGCGAACGCGAAGAAGAATGTTCTGCTCGAAACCGAGTGATGTATCAATATCTTTGTGCTTGAAAAACACGAACAAATTCGCACAATGCAATATGAACATTAGAAGCGATGAATATCCAACCGTAATAAGCAATCAAAACTGTATGAACAAAAGTGACAAAAATGAAGAGAACAATTCATGGAAATGAAATATAATTGGCGAATTAAAACACAACCGAATGGAGTCTTGGAGAGATACCTAATAACGATATTAGTCTTAAGACGGTAAAAATGTGAGTGCAAACAAACAGTTTGAAAACGTAAATAAACTGAAAAAAATATTTCAGCGTATTCAGCAATGATAACTACGAACAGCGAATGAATAAACAAAATTCGATAAATACAATCGCAAATTCTAGGATATACATACGACTCTATCCAGCAATATTAAAAGACAAAATGTGAAGACTAGCAATTTAGCATAAAATGAACACATAAACGAATAAATAAATAAACAGCCAAATAAACTACTGTTGTTGCACAAGTGAACACCATTTGCAGAACATTAAAAATCCAAAAACAAATAATCTTATAAAAATATGCATCGATCAGCTGTGAACGATAAATTTCGACGCAGCCAGATTTTTCAAATGGAAAAAGAAAGAGGGAAACCGTACAGAAAACCGCTGTTAAGATGATCGCTTTTTTGCCAGTAATTAAAGATTATGATCTTGCCAATTGAAATTATGTTGGCTAGACGTTTTAAAATAATCGTTTACAAAAAAATGAAGTTTAAATCCTGGCCCAGCTCACAATACCCAGTAAAGTAATTTGAATCGAGTACATCAACGACTAATACTACGACATAAGGAGAAAAAATACAGTTATTTACAGAGCGAATAAAGTAAACGAAAATACAAACGAGTTCGAGAATGTCAGTTCGTAAATGAATTTAACTTGGTAACACGATCGCTGTAAATACCACTCAACATACAAATGAACGCAAAAATACTTATAACGTTGATAAGACCACAGTTTTCGAAGAGCGCAATCATAACTAAAGTACTTCAGCTAAAAAATGGAGATAGAACGAGCGCATTTAGGTGAGTCAGTTATGAGGTTTTAACGTCGCTGAAAGTAGGATTCGGAACCACAGAGGAAACCTTTTCATGCTGATCAACGTCAATGCTTAGTCACAACAAAAATGATTTATTCTCGAGGAAAATTTCGCGTAATATTTTTCACGTTCCTAAACGAAATTCGCGTAAGGATTTCGAAAGTAATCAGGCAACACATTTTTTTCGTGCATAAACGCTTTTGCTTGTGTCGATGAATGGCTGATTAGTAAAAATCAGTATGAAATACAAAGAAATTTGCTCTTGAAACCTTATGCCGAAGGTTATAAAGGAAAAATCAAAGAAATAAAATGAAGTGCTTGAGAAGTATAAAGTGATACAAAAATATAAACGAGAGAAGATTTTCCCGCACAAAAAAACAAACTGATCATTTGAACCAGTTTTTGAGTGTTGAGAAATCAGAATGAGATACGGAAAATGTAATAATTAATGAATAATACAGCCAAACGTGAAGAGCCTAAAAAGTATTGAAAAACAGAAATTTGAGTTGATAATCAGCATAAAGAGAAACTCAGAAGAGCGAACGAATGAAAACTTGAGCGACTGATGATGAATCAAGGACGACTGAATGCGATTCGATGCAATGTGCACATGCTCAGCTTATCTTGTTAGATAGCAGCGGACTGTTTCACGAGTTTTGCTTCAAGAATTATCAATCGCTGATTCATTTCGTTACGAAACTCATCGAACTTCGCTTGAAGACGATTATATTCAGCTCTCGTAACGAATTCTGAATCAGCCGCTGCAGTGCTAACACCACTAGTTTTCGGAGATGCAGACACACATGATGAAGAGTGGTGCAGATGAGATTGTTGTTTTGAAGAAGGCACTAAAATAAGCATTATGAAATTTTTAGGGAGCAAAAAATAATTCGTGTCGTCGATTACAATTCAGATCATTAAAAAGCTTCTCAAATCTCTCATGACTGTTTGTTGATTCATACCACTTGCGCATTATATGCTTCATCGAAAACGGTGCCTAGTGGACTATTTGAGGATTATCATATACACTACTATAAATATCATCCTTTTTCATATCACGACAATCATAAAGTTAAATTCCGTTTGTGATGAAAGTTATTCACAAGAGACACAAGTTGTTATGAAGATCAAATGAAAAAAAATCAAAAAACAGTTATTGTTACCTGAAAGAGAAGGCAATTGAGTAGAAGCACTGGTAGATGAGGACGGTGACGTTGAAAAACTCAGCGCTGCCGCTGGTGCTGGCACAGAATTTACTTCTTCAGCAATCGATAGTTCCAGAATATTGTCAGTGGATTTCTAAGGCGATAATTAATATGGTTACTTAGTAAATCAATGTGAAGGAAAACATATTTATATAGTTTTAAAAATACATCATGAACAGATTTAACTGTTAAAATTTGTGGAAATATTCGGCTAATCATAGTTCTTTAAAATCGGAATAAATGAATGAGCGCATACACGCAGTATCGCAAACAACAAGTAAAATATGTTCATGGATACAAAGTACGCATTACAAAATACATTACAAAATGATGAAATTTTTTGAAATTCTCTGTAGGCAAAATTTATTCTCATTATCATTGTTGCCGTGTCAATCTCTTTTTCTCCACATATGCACTTTCATATGTAAATGAGAAGCATAAAAAAATGAATAAATTTGAATGATACGAATGAAAATTTAATTTCGCATCTTCAATTGCATTAAAACAAAATTTGGTGTGCAGTTGTCGAAATAAAACGAACTCTTTTTGATAAGATTGTTGATGGTGGACGTTTTTTTGGCTGTTTAGGACGAGTGGTTGTTATATGAGAGAGACGTTCATCTCCAGCACGTGGTTCCGATGATGAGTTGTCTTCAGGTCGGGCTGGCTGAAATTATCGTGTTGAAAGAAATAATTTGGGAAACATTAAGCTGATATCATGCCAATGATAATGACACAATTGCTGCGTTCATTAAAAAATGAAACGAGTGACTCAGAAGCATCTTACACCAATAGTTGTTGATCGCTGAGATGTATGCTCTTAAACTGACATACAACAACGCAATCAACGTCGTAAACAAATTTTTCGTTGCAAATCTGCAAGATATCATTAATAATTATTACCTTGCTCACAAATGGTTTTGGTGGCCTGGTGAGTGCATCGGCCAATGTTGCTGCAAAAGAATTCGAACTGACACGTCGTATACCGCCCGTAGATGAAACGCCCAAACCGGGAGGTTTTGTGGGCTTAGTGGGAACTACTGGAGGAGGCACCTTGAAATGATCAATCGGCCAATTTTAAATAGTTAACACAATGAAAATATTACAAATATCATTATCACATTGAACGCATATACGTTTTCAGTTTTACACTGCTGGAAGAATTAAGCCAATCCATTCTAGCGTAGGAATAAATAAAATCAGTTGTTCGATTTTCACATCAAACGAATGGATACTGCGAAGGATTATGGTTATGAGAGTAAAAGCTCACAAAAGCAACGACAATAATAATTTAAAAATAATAGGAGCAGTAAGTTACGGTGCTAATCGTGGATGGTGATGCAATTTTATGACTATCAGACGAAACGTTTGCTGGCGATGAAGTTGATGAAGTGATTAGTTCAACGAAGTTATCAGGGATTAATCCACGTTTACCGTCAACCTCGGCTATAAACCATCCAGGATCAGGACACGTCTTACTGACGATCGTTACCAGTGCACCAACTTTTTGTAACGCCAATTCATCATCATGTTCAGGCTTGTATGTGTAAAGAACACGCGCCATCTCTGTAATTACGCTAGCTCCGCAACACCCGGTTTTGAAGTATTTACTCCAATTCCCATTCACCCTCGACGAACAACAACAGATACATCGAAATTTCATTGTGTTGAAAATTCACGATGGTGTGCAAATAATTCAACTGAAATTACCTTTCGCAGGACCGTCGCCGTCACATCCTACCTCTTTCTTATTATCTGATGAAGGCAAAGAAGAGGATGATTTGGACTTAGAAGTTGAATCGACCGTTGATGTCCTTTGTAAAGCTTCTGGTGAGTCATCTAGAATTTATTACCGACGATAACTCCTTCTTGCACAATCATTATGATGAATCAGCAATTTTTAAAACTGACACAAAATTTAAACAAACCTAAAATAACACTAATAACAATAATAATGACATAATTTCTGATGGTAACGTTAAACTGGTATTAGAACGTTAACACCTTAGATTATTAAAGATCGCTTCAACCATACTGGCACGTTCACACGAGTCAAATTTAAACAAACCTAAAATAAATTCAGATCCTTTCTTCTTCGTTTCCGTTAACTTCACCATACCATTGCCACTGCCTGATTGCGTCTCTATAATATTGATAATAATAATAATAATATAGTAATAATAATAACAAGTAATAATAATACAGTAATATAAGAATGAAAATCAATGTCTGGTTTCCAAATTTCGTATTGATATCAAACCGATTGAACCAACATGTGATGGAATCTCAATTTTTTTTCAAATTTTTTTTCGTCAAGACCAAATTTTCGTCAATACTACTACTGCCAACTTGAATTACGAAACTTTTTGTTTTAACCTGAAGCATACATGCGTAAGAGAGGATTCATGACAGAATTTCAATCATTTTTCAGTAAATTTCGGTTCAGTCGATGGAATTTATCTAGTTTTTCAATTATTTGAGGTGCTGAACGTGATGTTTTCTAATTTTTGCTACTTGTAATAGTGCTTTTCAGATTTGCTGAGAGAATCTGTCTCCTTAAATGACTATCATAGGCTTCTGTATTCTTACAGAAAAAATCATTTCACTGATGGAAAATTTTGGGATGAGTGGTTAGTGAGCAGATTTCATCAGATCAGTTTTTTGCTAGACAAGAAACTATCAAATTATTACCAGGTTCTTAAACTAATTTTATGAAATAGCTGAAGACTGAGACAAGCTCCCGAAGTATTGCTCCGAAGGTTATCTCTGACTCCTCTCAAACATCTCCTTCCTATAGCTAATTCTTGATCACGCACTAAACTCTGGGAACATTCCATCACTGGAACGACCAATATTTCCGGCTAGCAAAGAAAACTTACACAACCAATAATATTGATTACTACGAGTTTCAATTTACGATCAAACTTCTAAAACGAATTTTGGACATTAACCGAGATTCCACTATTTTTTATAAATACTATGGCGCTAAAAGAGAAACATACCAACTAAGTCCACGAAGTTAGTGGGAAATAAACCAATCACACCAGTGCTACGTAATTTGCCTTTCATCCAACCAGCTTCTGCTTCTTCAATGACTTCAATCACATCATTAACTTCCAAGTTTAATTCATCGTCATGTGCTGCCTTATATGAAAATCGTACATTTGCTATACGTACTGCGCTGTTGCTGCTTGTTGTTGTTGTTGTTGTTGTTGCTGCTGTAATTATGATGACAAATTGTTTTATGATAGCTGACTAATCTTTGGAACAAGTCAGTTCCATTCAATCAAATCATTTAAGAAACAACTAGCGTTCATGTTGGTAAGACAATAAAAAAAGAAGCCAACTGACAGCCACAAGGAAGTGATTCAGTTGAGAGCCTAACCATACCTGTTGGCCTTCGGAACGCAACATCTGAACCGCGATTGAACGAGAGATCCTTGCTGAGGCGATTGACGAGTTTTGCAACATTTCCTCGTGCTTTACAACACGAGTCTATTTCCTCCTTTAATAATGAGAGTAGTAACGCAATGATAAAAATAATTAAAACAGATTTACATTTACAACAAAACCAAACATCTGGCACATGCTGTGCTACGAAAATAATGAAAGAATATTTTCCAATTGCACTTCAATTTGAAATGAACGAAACTGCAGCGAACAAACAAGTAATTTCAACAACTGTATTCGGAAAGCGAATGCTGAACTGAGTTTATTTTCGATCTCATCAAATAGAGTCATGTTTTCACTTTTTTTAAATTATTGCAAGATGGAATAGAAGAACGCGGAAATTGTTTTTCCCCATATACTACATAATATGCTATGAAAATGGCTCATTTTTAAAATGCTCCATACTTTTGAAATAACTTTCTCGAATTTCACGATGAAAACAGAACCGCAAGGCTCACAACAGGTATAAGCCTGACTCACGATGAAAATTCAGATACTACGGGAAGGGGATATTTTTAAACGAAACGACCAAATGATAACATAGAATATTTTCGATTGAAATTAATAGCATTTTGATAAAATAGTTCCCAAATTTACAACGAACCTGATAAGACATCATTAGGAGGACGTGATAGTAGTGAAACACAAGCTGCTGGCTAGTTGCTGTCCTTTTGTACCCTCAGCTCACTCACAAACAACACACGAAAACAATCAGACACACTGTCGATTGAGACAAGAAGTACTGAAATGCTAATTGAATTAAGGTGAATGTATCAGGTCATTACAATCAGAAGCATGTGAACGATCAGAATGTGAATCGAAAGGAATGCATGGATTATTTTATATGTCATAGGCTACTGCATTATAAAACTGAATAAACGTTCTTTTGGAACACATCCTCAAAAATTATTTTAGAGCGAATCATAACAGGATTATCTGCACAGACTGACGATGAACAACAATTGATATATACTGATGAATTTGAATGCGAACTGCTCATCAAACTTCGAACTTTTCAAGTTCAGCTCAACGCAATCCAATAAAATTGTTTAAACTGATGAGGAAAAGATGTTGTGTTGTTTGTGAAGAAGAGAACACAAAAATACGTTAGAGATCGAAGAAGTGTTTCGAGAAATTGTGGTTGATGTGTTTTAATATTCACATTCATTTGCCTTGATCCAGAAGTACGTTGATGAGGTGAACTGCGCACAAAAATAAAAAACACAATAAAACAAAACAAATGTGAACGGCTGAGCGCACTACTTTATCGCTGTCAAATCGTTACTTTTACTTCAACAATCTTACACAATCAGCCGTCTTGACAAGAACGTAAAATCAACAGCCCTGCAAAAAATAGGAAATTTTGTTTTTTAAAGAAAAATGATATTAAAAAAAAGAAAAAAGAAATGATATTTTCGAGTGATCATTCGTTCAATTATTGCGCGTTGATGCAAAAACTTATCAGTATTGTTGAATGTGAGATTCGACTGTCATGAATGCAATATGAAAAAAAACATCACCCTCAGTAGGATAAAACAGGATGAAACGATTGGAGCGAACATCAAAAAATATACTGCGCTTCATTTCGAAAAGAAAAAAAGGCGTAAAATACAGGTATGAACAATTAAAATTCCTTGGACGTATCCTACGTGGGCTTCTAGGTAGTGGATGCTTTCCTAGGTTTTCCATTCAGAACTATTTTCGAAAACATCTTTTCAGACAGATGACTGAATACTCTGAACACAACAAACGAAACCATTCTCGGTCAGAACTGAAAAAGTTTTGAATTGGACACAGATAGACATTGATTTGGAGATCAATAAATGTAATAAAATGATTAGAATGAAGCATAATAAAACGAAAGAAAGTTATAAGGAAAGAACTGACATTGAATGAGATCACGCAAACAATAAGAGCGTTTAAGTGTATGGTACTTGAAAAATATCACTATGTATAATATACTGAATTACAATACCAAAAATAATGTTGTTAATCAATGATATGAAATTGCTGGGTGGGTCAGTGTGCATTCTATTACATAACTATTAACAGCAACGAATGATGTCGATGATGAGTCATGATCTAGCAGTGCTGCATTTAAAAATTTTATTTTATGCTACGATATTATTTGCATTCACTTCAGCACTGAACAGTGCTCCAAAAAGTAGTATTTTATTTGGGGCTAAACAATATTCGTACATCGAGACGCTATCCAATGTCGGTCATCTCAAATTTTATTGCAAATTCAATTGAAAAACAAATTCTTGATAAAAACTGTGAAGAAACGCCTGTCTGAAGTAATACAGAGTACGAGCTTAATTTCAGAATGACTTGAACTTCATTCTCTTTAGAAGTGGGTAAACTAAAGAATGACTGTGTTAGAATGAGATTGAAATATAGCAGCTAGGATAAGAATTGATGTAATACATAAGAGTCAATAAACAATCAGATTTCTGCACTGAATGAAGAGATTCGTGCATTCCAATAGAACTTGTCTTTTACTTTGTAGAATTTTTTTGCTCATGCTGAACCACAAATTTATTGCGAACAGTTCAATCACAGACGAAAGCACATCGTCCAAACTGAGCCCTCTAATAACGAAATTTCATTTGGAAGAAAAAAATGTCGGTAAAAACACTTCCTTACTGGTGCAGCAGATATGAAAAGAATTAATGATACTAAGAACCATTCGTATAAAAATTTTTGCTAGAAAAACCGGACTGAATCACTTCATTTGCATGCATTTTGTGCACTTATGTTCACGGTAATTCATACTGAGTTAGATAGCAGAGTATAAACGACCGAAAAGGCACGAATATGTTCTGAGATGACCTCTCATTCTTAGTACTCAGCAATATTTGTGCCAGAACGATATAAGATCTATATTTTCATTCGCACTACCTCTTGTAACACAGGATGGCGGACAAATGCATCTACGACAAGTCTAACTCCGACAAAAAGCACCATTCTACTCAATGATAAGGCACGCGTTATCATAGACTTTCGTCGGAGTGGCAGTTGTCGCGAAGCAAACTGTCGTAGGCCCGTAACAGAAACCAGGCTCGTATGAGTTTCATTACGAGCTGCATACAATTGACCAATATTGACCAATAAATATTGACCATAAACCAACAGAGAATTATTCAGTTTTTGATGCCAGACTTCAGAAAATCTTAGGAGACATGTGCAAGTATGCACTGCAGTATTTACGGTTTCTCACAAATCGAGGCTCAAGATCGTTAAAGAATTGTCGGTTACTTTCTTATACAATAGATTTCACAGCTACCAACAACAACCTTTCTATGGCACATACAAACAAACATATTTATGTGCCGCACAAAATTCAGCGGCAAATCTAGGGAATTTTTACACAGAAGAATGCAATCAAACAATGATAAAATAAGCAATGGAATAATTATTTAATTCGTCTGAAACGCTTAATCATACCAAAAAAAACTATTTGAAATAGGTGGTTACAGCGAATTAAACACGTATCAGTCGAATAAACTTGTCATTACGGTTGGGAAACATTGCCAAAAAAGCACAGAGAGACAAAGAATATTGTGATGCGTACAAAGCTAAATTCATGACTGTATATGACGAACGACTGAATATGGAGAACGATGTGAGTGGATTAAAAGCTTTTCGAATATCGCAGTTCCGTAGAATTCTTTTTACTTCTGCTTTGCATGCCAACAGTTTTTGCTTCACCTGTACCTTACTTCATTTGCAGTATTTAGAAGTATTATTTACCCTTACGTTGCCATGTTTTCTTTCAGACGATTCTTATAGTTAGACAAAAATATGATTTGTGATTGTTGTTTCAAGTTATTTCTTCAGATCATTTTACCATATCTGGGCATTCACAATGTCTACCATATCTTTTAGCCCATTCTCTCATTGGCACTTTTGCTGATAACGGGCGCCACCGCGCGCATGCGCTTAGGCTACCACTTTGCGCACATATTTGTCAGCACAGAGTACATAACTCATTCTCTCTCTCTTCTTTCAGTACGTTTCAACTGTCATGATGGAAGTTTGAAGGGGTACAATGCAGTACAAGTCTTAACTCATCTTCTCTCTCATAACTTATGATGGAAAATTTGAAGGGCTGCGATATGAATTATATGCAGATTTTTGAAAACTTACCTGCATCCCACCCTGTCAGGCTACGCATGGGCTTCGGCTGACGCGCTACTGCCTATCACTGCGCGTGGTGGTGCCTGCGGCGTTTTTTAAAAGAACGGCTGAAATCACTTTCATCCCTATGTTTATGTGAATAGTTGTGCAAAGGAGGAACTGTAAGAGTTGCACTACTCGACGGTAGCAAAACAGATATTGTCAATCATTACAAAAATTTGAACTGTATAAGGGTAACATATTCATGATTTTTGGACTCCATTTGAAGCAAAAGTACATTAGACTCGTGCAAAAAAAATTTCGTTGTTAACGATAAACGTGTAGCTGATGGACTGAAAACGAATAGTTGTGAAACAAGGGAAGCTTTCAAGTTAGAGGAATAATTAGCGGCAGTTGCGCTCAATACCGTGACTGAGACAGGAGCAAGTTTCACAAGCAACACTGTCAAGGAAGTGGTATTGACTATGAGCACTTCGATATTGACTCAGAGATGGCAAGAAGCAGCATCGTGACGCTCATGAAAGAAAGTTTGTGTACAATCAGTGAGGCACTACCGTTGACAGACGTCCACTTTTCACTAAAAATGTTAACGAGAAGTATGCAAAGCTGTCCATCAGTATTGAGAAATGGGATACGAGGTAGACATTCTTTTCCTTCAGAGAAAAGCGATGGATGATGGATCAAGCGCTATCATATTATAAATTCGGCATATCGTCGATAGTTTTTGAGATAAGCTGCATCGGCACCACAAGTTTTCACTTGTGGTGCCGATGCAGTTCAGTATCAAACTCATGAGTCAGTCGATTTTTACTGGTTATTAATACTGGTTCGCAAAATATATCAGTTGCTGCTCAGTGAATGCCATCAAGACCAAATTTGCATCCGTAATTGATCCATGTCTTTTGCAATTTTCTGCTAATATCCATCGAGAACCAAAGTTGCATGAAATCAGACGTGTTCTTATTCTTGATCGATGCATTAACAGTTTCATTCAAACCATTTTGATAATTTTGGATTTGGAATCAAAAGCGTTATATTGCATCGAAATGTTTTTTCCTTATCGGAATGATCGATTCCACTATCATTTTCAGCTATAACTGAGCTGTATTCGGAATATCTTCTTGTGAAAACATGATGCTTTCATGCCAAGGAAACGACCAATCTGATTCAGTTTTGATTGTCGTTGAGGGTATGAAGGTCTATGGCAGAATAATTAAAACAGTTCTGGGTTCTACATTAAAACAGCATTATATACACCAACAGAATACTATGGACGTGCAGGCGGAATAGAGTTTCAAAGACTGTTTTAGAAACTGTTGAAGACATTGAAGTTTGTCGCTACAATGGCCATGTTTAATTCATTTCTTATGTTAGATATCAGACTAGATGGGAATCAAACTTACTTCCAACAGTTTGGGTTAATTCAGTATTTATCACGGTTTAATCACCCAACTTCGAGACGTTTAAATTACAATTTCACTGAATCAGTTGAATTGAGGATAAAAAGATAGTGCTGGAAATCAATGTGCTGCTATGATCGAAAAGAAAAATATATTGTATTATGTTGATATTTTCGTATGCATTAATTAAGCTGAATTGGTGGTGACCGAATGAAACCGGCTGACGCTCGAACTCGGCTGTCAACTCAGGTAACAACTTGTTAACGTATGTGGTGATTTCATCTACAGTGCTGTATCATAACTCGTGTTTTGAAAGCAATCAAGCAATCAGTATTCTCAAGTTTAGCCGCCAAGCAATCTATAGATCTCCTACAGGCATATCAATTCGTACCGGCGTATGTTAGCTTCATCCGTTCGAGTTAGGCTCAACTTTGTGCTCAGGCCTAGTGTTAGGCTTGAGCTTAGGCTTTTAGTTAAGTTGAGGTGCATGCTTAGACTTATGAGAGAATAGAATGCACCTGTCAAATTGCTACATCCTTACAAAGTTTACAACTTGCCTGGCTAGCAAATAATCTTAATTGTACGGACTGCATGATTCTGCGACGGAATAATTATTCCATCAGGAGATCATCATATGATAGGAAATCGTTTAAACATTCAGAGAAATATTTATTGGAAATCAAACTGGAACGGTCAAGTATGACTCAAAGAAGAGTGAACTGATTCGGGATATGTTAATAACATTGAAGTGATTAGAGAGGAAGCAAAGACTCAACGAATCAATTAGCGATAATCAGCGAAAATTACTATCATTCGCAGTAAATTTATAAAATGAGTGACAATGAAATAAATGACCTTCGAATGAACGTTTGATAAGCGAGAGCAGTAAAAATGATAACCAAGCTTGCTCAAATTTCTTATTACATCAGTCATTTGAAGTTTGAAGGAAATTCATTCTTTGCAAAGACACATTCTGCAGTGATAGTTTGTATTTCATCAATATTGGTTTGTGTAATATTATATAGCAAGGTAATGTGCATCACATACTCAACAAATTGATAACAGAGATTAATAGAGTGCGTAAATATGTTGAAAAAAGATTAAATATCTGAAAGACGTACATATATTATATACATATACAT